ATGTCAAACACTTTAAACGACTTCTTCTGAAGAACTGGTAGTTATAAAATCTTAATATTTGGCAGGTGGCTTCCTGGGAAAGAGCCAAACAAAGTTTGCGAATGAAAATGACCTTGACCTACTTTCAAGGTCACAGCGTTCAAATATGTCAAACAGTTCAAACAGCTTCTTCTGAAAAATTAAAAGGCATAAAATTATAATATTTGGCTGGTGACTTCGCGGAATAGAGCTCACCAAAGTTTGCAAATGAAAATGATCTCAACCTACTTTAGAGGTCACAGAGGTCAACAACATTTTAATGGAATTGTTCTTGAGAACTAAAAGGAATGGATTCATAAGATTTAGCTGGTAGCTTTTTGGAATAAAGCTAACCAATTGGAGTAGGAAAATGACATTGACCTACTTACAAGATCACAGGGAAAAATATGTCAAGCAACTTCTGAAGAAGAATCAAAAAGCATAGAATCTTATAATAATATTTTGCTGGTAGTTTCAACAGATGGAGCCAACAAAGTTTGCGAGGGAAATATTTTTAGTGCAATATAATATTTAATGAGAATATTTTGCTATGACTGCTTAAATATTCAGGTGAGCGATACAGGCCCTCTTGGGCCTCTTGTTACCTGGTAGTGACAACGCTTTTGTTTTAGGGTAATTATGATTGTTGAGGTATCTTTTTTTAAGTATGCTTTCATTTGTATTAGGTGTAGAAGATTCACAATTTTAGAGGTATTATACCGCAATTATGTTTTTTTTCTGCTTTTTCATCTTAGATTCCTGATGTCAGCATTAAGCACCAGGGAACATATACCTGTGTGATAAAGAACCAGTTTGGGAAAACTCACAGCAGAGAAGTGACTCTTAATGTGAACCCAGAAGCTGTTGTTCGAGGTAAGGGACGCGCGACTATTAAGGCGAACCAAGAAGTTGCTAAATGAGACAGTTGGCCGAGTGTTCATTCGTAACATAAAAATATTTGGTTGTCATCTGTTTAGATTATTTATGAATAGGAACTGTGTATTATATCATTTCTAATATTTAGAAAAGAAAATTTAGAAAAAAAAGAGCGTTACCTTTTTTTAGTCACAAATTGAAAGTCTTCTCAATCTCCTTTATTTAGTTGCAGTGAATTGGCTTCGTTATCCTTCAGATAGCCACATTCAACATTAAAGCTGCATGAACTGTACTTTTTGATTTAGTTTAATTAAACTTTAGAAAATATCATTGCTTAACAATTATCTCAGCAGGGTTGATACTGAAGACTTTTTAGATTTTGAAGAACTATTTTACCTTCTATTTAATATCATCTGCAATTTCTGTGCTATTGATGAATGTGTAATCTAGAAATATGGTTCAAATATTTATTTTGTTCACTAAAATATATATTGGTAATGATCAATGTTGATTATTAAGTAAATCCTGTCAAAACAACATTTTTTTAATGCTTTAGATGTTGTTAAAATATTTTAATCTTCGATTTAACCTCCTCTGCATTGTTCAGTGCTATAAATAGATGGGTAATTTAGAAACATTGTTTTACTTTAATAATGGGTCTTTAACTTTCTTTTCTTCTTGTAGATTACCGATCTGAAGGTAAGATTTTGTTTTCAACACTTACTTTGTTCCCTATAATTTATTTTAATGTTATTCAATAAATCCTATCAAAATAACAGGCAACCGTTCATTTAGATTCATTAAACATTTACATGTACCTTATTTGTCAGGCCAGTTTTATTTCCAAGTGTTTCTACAACCACAGAAATACGACATATCATTGAATGATATTTCATAGAATGTAACAGATTTCAATTTCTGTTGTAATATATTTTAAAATGACCTATACATATATAAAGATTAATGCCGGTTTTGTTATCACGTTTGTAGGAATTGACATCATACTCAACCCGAAGACGTGCACTGTTGAAGTGGGAGGAAGTTGTCTATTTTCAGTTGAGGCCAGGTGCAAATATCCTCTGACCTACAAGTGGTACAAAGATCATCAAACTATAGGTATAACTTAGCTAAATTATATTTTGTCTTGTAAACATAGTTTCGAGTAAGTCAAAGTGTTTTGTTTTCAGTTGTGGATATTTTTTTCTGTCTTTAAATATTTATCACTTTTAGCTCCATTTTTTTCGCCACAATCTGCGTTTTTTGACAATATTGAATTTGCTAAAATTTTGGAAAATTAAAGATTCCAGAAAGATAGAATTTTAACACACTTCCTACGTTATGATTATATATACACAAATAGATAAAGGTGGGGCTTTATTAAATCTTCAAGTGTTTAAAGACACACACTCACATTTTACAAATTAATGTTCATAGAACTTTTAAACAGTCTTCAAGTGTGTATGAATGCATGCTTTACACACACACAAAGATGAAGGAAAGGGTCTTGACTTTGCTGTGATTGAACAGTTTAGTTTAAACATATTTTATTGTCAAGCAAATGGAATAACTTGTGCCCAATCCATTTGCTTGGCAATAACATATGTTTAAACTAAACTGTGATTGAAGGTACAAGCTAATGGTCAAGATCAATTATGTCACTTTTCTTTAACTTTAAAAAAATATTATTTATTGCTCAGTTTGTATATATATACATTTATTTTTTTAATATTTTTTACAAAAGGATGGTAAAACCATGTTTTACTTTTTAACATTCTACTTTAGATTACTTTTTAAATGAGGAAAATGAATAATCAGGTGTATTACTGTAAGCTCTGTAAATTATACAAGATGTCAAATTGAAAATGTAGCTGAACTGGACTGTGTCGATTGTCGACGACCAGGTAGCTCAATTGGTAGAGCGTCGTTTAGAGTTTTGAGGGTCCCAGGTTTGAACCCCGGTCTGGCTGCGCGTTTTTCCTTCCCTGTTACAGAAGAGATGTGCAAACTAGAGTTCTTTTTTAATATTGTCCCCTCTTAAAAAAAGGAATTATAAAAAATATTACCTTCCCTTCAATTCCTTGGCATTTAAATTAGGATGCTGTAAAATAATGTTAGTCTGGACACTTTGATTTCATACAACCAGTCAAAGTATCAATAGATAATAGCAAGCATTCACAATTATTGGAAACTTACCATGGTTGACCGTAACCCCACATTTATGTGTGCAGGTTGTGAAGAGAAAGATCTAAAGATGTTCAACCTTCAGGACCATAACATGCAGGGGACCTACCAATGTGTTGTAACGTGCCCGAACACCAAAGAATCCGTCCTCTCTCATCCTGCCTGTCTGTCTATCAAGTCTCCTCCCAACCACAGCAAGTCAGAGTACAGAGGTATGTATAATGTATCGGTCTTAACCAATCAGAGTACAGAGTTATGTATATTGTATCGGTCTTAACCAATCGGAGTAAAGTGGAATGTATAATTTAACACTCTTAACCAATCAGAGTACAGAGGTATGTATAATGTTACATTCTTAACCAATCAGAGTACAGTGGAATGTATAATTTAACACTCTTAACCAATCAGAGTACAGAGGTATGTACATTATAATGTTACATTCTTAACCAATCAGAGTACAGAGGACACTCTTTACCAATTAGAGAACAGAGGTATGTATAATGTAACACTCTTAACCAATCAGAGAACAAAGATATGAATATTGCAACACCATCAGCCAATCAGAGTATTTATATCCCAACATCCTCAGCCAATCAGAGTATTTATATCCCAACATCCTCAGCCAATCAGAGTACAAATCTATGTATATTGTAACAGTGTATTGTATTAGCTGGTCAGACTACTGAAGTGTAATGTATGATACAACAGCCTCAACCATTCACATTTCATAGGTAAGGATTGTTACAATGTGTAGCACTGTGGGGTCCAATTTTCAGCTGACCATTTGTCTATATAGTCCTGTTACCCAGCTGAGTTAGGACACAATCTACTCTTTTACCTTGTATATCCATTGATTGATTGATTGATTGATTGATAGGTTTTACGTCTGCTTCACTACCGAGTAGTTTGGTTATATCCAGCAGACAAAAAGAAAAGACAGGAAAATGAATAGAAGGGATAAAGTATGGAGTGAAGGGATAGAAGAGGGAGACAGGTTAGATAAGGAGCCGTCTATCCTGTATGTATTTACTGTATAAGTCTAATTATTGTAAGCTGGCTCCTAGGCCTAATATTTGCCTTAACCTAACACTCTTCGTATAGCATCACCAAGTCTGGACAGGATGTGAGGTACTGAGCCGCCGCCAGCAACACCAGTTCCTACCTATTCTATTGTTTGGTTTGGTATATATGTTTTGGAGTCCTTCTAAATGTCTAATAAAGAGAACCTAGTTCTTTCAGCCGAAAACAAATCTAACCCTATCCTCTGTGTCAGCGCTACTCGCCTACTCTTTTTCGAAAAACTCAGAGGGATCCTTTCCATGCGAGATTGGACAGTTCTCACACGGGACACCTTTTATAGTCCCTGTTATGTATGTCCATGCTGAGCATGAAGATATGAACGCTGTCATGCTACCAGGATTAGCCTTGGTTCTGGCTGCACCCTTGGATACTTATTTCAGTATTTCTTGAAAGAAAAAGAAAAATATATTTGTCAGTTTAGAAGTTTATTTATTGTCTCGGCTATTTTAGAGGTTCAACTGCACACATGTATTTCACTAACCTTATAATCCTTCTGACCTTTTATAGTTATTGTATTACAGCCACAGACAAGGTCGCATTGCTGATAGGAAATTATGACTATATGAACGAGACAACACTGAAAGCTCCTATCCATGATGTTGCAAAGATGGCTGAAGCTTTCAGAAGTCTGGAATTCAAAGTGGTTTCATTGTTAAACTTGACAAAACAGGAAATGAATGCAGCAATTCATGAGTATTGTAATCTACTTGGAAAAGGTGTGTATGGCGTTTTCTATTTTTGCGGTCACGGCTTCGAGGAGAACGGACAGTGTTACTTTGTTCCTCCTGATGCAAGAAGTGGCTACACAATAGAGGATTGTATTTCATCAAACGATGTCCTTAGGGCCATGCAGAAGTCTGACCCAGCCTTAGTTACACTCATCCTAGATATCTGTAGAATCAGGTAAGACTTTCTTGTTGCTTTTCAAAATCTTACTTTGCGTCACATCAAGGCTTATACTCTACTTTGAGATATTTTGGTGTATTTGGCACAGAAAAGGGTGGTTAAATTTTGTAATTTCGTGATTTCTGTATGCTTAGATTTTAGTACTTTCTCATGTCTTGTTATGTAATTGCTCCATCAGTTCATAAGGTTTTGGTAGCTATAGGTTACCATAAGGTTTTAAAATGATAAAATAGACTTGGAAACAATAGCGTAAATCAATAACTATATTGGATGGGTTAAGAGGTGTGCAGATAATTGACAAAGTCGAAAATCTATAGCCTTTGTTTACCCAGGTATCTTTCTTAAAACATGTGTTAGTATCATTGTCGGAGAATTTTTCACATTCATACAGAATTAACAACAATATAATAGGTTCATGTTTAATAAACTATCGATACAAATGTACTCTGGTGGGAACCCTGTAAACAATAAAATGTGGACCTCCGTTATGAGATGCTATTTGTTTCTGCTACAGAAATAAAATCCCCAGCAAGCCTCCATCAAATACTGGATGTGTCACTGGACGAGAGAGCCCCAGTGTGCCGGACCCTAAAGGCAACTGTGTATCGATCTATGCTACGTACGTACCTGTCATTCAAAGTATTACGTCAAAGATACTTCAGATGTTTATGAATTACTATATACCTGGATTTTTTCTACAGTTTAACATTTGTCTTTTTCGCCCTTCTACAAGTTTAAGTAAACAACATGCAGTTACATATATGGTGAGTAACATGTAAAGGGCAAGATTAACACTGGCGTACGTAGAGTTCATTGGAAAAGGGCGAATATCAGACTGGGTGAGAGTCTCCGGTATATGGTTTTTAATCATGATGACATGAAGCAATCTTTATTTGAGGTTTTCAGTTCCGTCCATTGATTAAGATAAAAACATAATTATCAGTTATGAATTTTAGGTCAATATGGAGTTATATTTACATTCTTCACTGACATTCAGTCAACAACCACTGTTCAAGCAAACTGGAGTTATCATTTCATACCGGACTATAGAAAAGGACAAATCGCCATGACAATGACAACAATTCATGTGGGAGGGGTTATCCAAAATTTTCTGAAAACAAGACACAATTGTGGGACGACATCAACAGTAGATGTGGGTGGAGTCAATCAAAACCTATGTAAATTTTCAGGCTGTTATTTTCATTGAACCGCTCAGATATTAATAGGTTTTGAAAATTGTTCTTGCGTCGGCTGATCAGACTATAACGAATAAAATAGTTATGAACTATTCAAAACAAATATTGTAAATATAAGGAAATCTTTCTTTTTTGGTCAGATTATTGGGTGATAACTTCAGTTGAACTGGAGTAAATTAATCATACACTGTAGATGGCTTTGCCTCATAACCTGACCAAAATAGAAAACTAGAAAAGAACCTGAAAAGGATACAAATGACCCAAGACAATGAAGAGACATGAATCTTCATAGATGTACAGAGTGTAACATATTGTGTTACCTCGAATGTCAAAAGTTAGTTCAAAGTAAGCAAAGTTAGCTGAAAAGTTACAAATTGAATGTGGGGGCCGCGGTGGCCAAGTGGTTAAGGCGACTGACATTCTGCTACCACTAGCCCTCCACCACTAGGTGGCGAGTTCGAGACCTACGTGGGGCAGTCGCCAGGTACTGGCCGTAGGTCGGTGGTTTTTCTCCGGGAACTCTGGCTTTCCTCCACCACCAAAACCTGGCATGTCCTTAAATGACCATAGCTGTTAATAGGACGTAAAACACAAACAAACCAAACCAAAGCAAATTGAATGAACCTCATTGTAATAAAGAATATGCTGTGTTTCTGTTAAAAGGAGTGAGGGAATGTTTGCTTATGAAGACCACGAACATGGAATTTTGGTGAAATATCTTCAAAAGTTCATCTATCAAAACAAACCAGTCAGCTATTTCTTTAATGATGTCATTGACGGTAAGTTGCCAGTAAAAAGACTGATTTAAACACTGCTCTTCAATGTCAAATATTTATTGTGTTTAGAAGCATTTTCTTTTTAGTTACCAGCTAGTTATCTTCATTGCTTTGAAATTATAAAGACACCTTTTTTCAACTGATGAGTGTTTATCCATAGTCCATTCAGTCTTTAGTTTGAGTCTGCATGTATACTTCATCTGGGAAACATGTATACTTCATCTGGGAAACTCATGGGCACTACTTGTTTATGCTGTATTTGTCTATTTGATGTTCAAAGTGCCGCCATGGAAAAAATGATGACTTAAAGGACACTTTGAAACTAGAAAACTGATGATTTTTGTGAAAATTTTGAATCTTTCTACTACAGTATTATCAATTGAAATAAAATGTTCTCAGCATCAGGGACACAATTTATATATTAGGAGACTTAGTTAATTGTTATGTACAGCAAAACCTGTCTGGTCCATCCTCAGAGAGTATTCTGACATACTGTGTAATCTGACACTTAAAGTATCGGGACATCTTGCCTAACTGATGTATAGCTATAAGCCAGAAATCCAAATAAAAAACTAGTCCTCTGGCACTCTGTCTCATCCAAGCAACTCGTTGAGTCCCACAAGGTATCAGATTAAACATCAGGTTTTACTCTATAGTAGAGGGCTATCGTATTAATGAATGTATAGACATCCAGTGCTGGCAAAAAACTGTACAATATGAAGGGGGCATATCTAATGTCAAGTTTCATTTGTGCAGTAGACTATCTATACATTAATACTATTTATAAGATAAAAACATGTACTTTATACAGTAATGAGTATGAATTTTCAAAGAAATTGGTTGATATTCCCAGGAGTACATGTGGTATTGTGGATGATCTGTAAGGAAAGCTTGAAACAATGGTAGATACAGCTTGGTCACGACAACAGTTGAATGTCTAACATATGTTTACAAGAATACCTAAAGGAACATCTTTCACAATTCTATAAATTGAAATATCTTTCTTCAATAAGATTCATCATTTTGGAAATATGTGATATCAATTGTTTACTATCTACACAAACATTGTACATATTAAACGTGTCGCAACTCAGTCATACCTTGACAAAGGGACCAGTCTGTCTTGAAACGTTGCGACACGTTTAATATGTACATTGTTTGTGTAGAAAGTAAAACTTTGATATTATAAACTGAAATCATTTTGTGGTTTCATTACAGCCTGGAAACAGGATCCGCAGCACTGTAAGCTGCAGAAGCCAGAGATCAGGTCTACTTTGCTGGACTGGGGAAGGTCATTGTCGGACCGAATACTGACCAAGGGTTACACACAAGCCTACAACACCCGAAAACAGATGTGGCTAAAAGCTCACGGTAATTAAGACACCTGTTACTCAGAACTCCAATGTGATGTGTATTCTTCACACATCTGGACCTAAGCATACTCTGAAAAGCAATTAAGTCTAATTTACCATTCCCAATAAGGATCTGATACAGCCCAACTTTTACCAGGTACTTGCATATGCATTAAAAATTATGAAACCATATTTTTGTACAATATAATGTTGAATTGCTGTTTCCTCCATGCTTGGTTCAGTGAAAGATATGGCTATGAAATAATAGATAACCATTTTTGTAAACAAGAGCTGTCCAATGTATGGTATGGAAGCATTCAAGGCTAAGCAGAAGCTCAAGTAACTCCATTTAAGAAGTAATTTATGGGCATGTGGCATAAATATAACAATATTTATCCTTGGTTTAATTGTTATAAGTAAGACAACCATTTTTACTACGATTCTATTAGTATATCTATCATCAGTGCTTTTCAGTTTGATATTTTACTTTTTCAGACACTCCAAAGCCGCAGGAAATAAGAATACCAGAGCTTGGAAACCTGGTGTTGGAGCTTACATTCCAGATGGAATTCTCAAATGTGCTTCACTTGTTTGCCACCATCAAGAACCCAGGGAATACATGCAGATCTATAGCATTTCCTTATGACTGGCCAAAAGTAGGTTAACAATTTGTGTTCTTGTGTTTAGCTTTAAAACATCTTCATCTATTACTTTGCCATGCACTTAACAGGTATATGTGCAGTATACATCTGTCAAGGTCCTTGACGCAACAGACAAACAAAAATGAAACCAAAGTTCACATTTACCAGCAATGAATGTTTTAGCAAATGTTGTTATGGTCCTATAACACACATTGCTATTGATGACAAACCTAACAAAGCCCAGCAGTGCTTCATGTAAGTTTGTCAGCAATAGAAATGTGTGTTATAGGACCATAACAATATTTGCTAAAATATTCCTTATTTATATTCGCATTTTGATAGAGTAGTTACGCTTTATTTAGTTATTTTGAACAGTTCTTTGAACAGCAAATGAAGTCTTGACAACAATAAAATTGATGACATAACAAAAGAGATTGATGACATTACAATAGCTCATTGCATTCCAATGGAAACATGCAGAGCAAATGTAAATATAGTGATATTTATTCAAAAGACATTTCCTCGAAATTGGTTTGACAAGTTTTAAATTGATTATATAGTAAGGAACTGAGTCACTTTAAATTCATTGGACAGAAAGCACCTTGAGGGATGAAGGTTGGTGTCCAACTAAAAGACCCAGACTTGCATGTTTTTGCAATTTTGTTCAATAATGGCTGGACAGAAATAATCTGAATTTGGTGTCACATTTCTGGGGAAAGAGATTTCATTGCTGGCATAAACCAGCTTTGCAATATAGTTATTTAGAAAATTCCTCTTCATGACTTAATTTGGTATATAGCATTCCTTCACCATGGCAATATAATTTTAAGTATAAATGATAGTTTTAAATTTGGAGACTGGTCTTTAGAATGGCACAACATTGGAATCTGGAACAATCTGGATTCAATTTAGTATTGATGAGGGCCTCTAAGGGTGGGGTCAGAAATTTAAAAAAAATACCATCATTCATAAATCACACAGAATGTAATCGTCTCATTAGGATCGGACATGTAATGTTTTTAAGAAACTTCAAGTTTTGATTTTGTTTGCCGTAGAGTATATCCATGATGGGAGACATTAAAAATGTGTCGGACACGTCAATCACTCGCAGCGCATCAGACACCCCGAAGCAAAGGGCCATAACCAAGTCAACCTTTCAAGACCTACAGAAACTTCGGGTGAGAATTTAAAAATAAATAAATAAATTTAAATTGTTTTTAATAAAGTGATTTACCAGATTTCTTGGTAAATAAAATTCTCCCTACATGTAATAAAATATGTTTACAATAAACCCCAAGAAGACCAATGAAATTATTTGTTGTAGCCAAAACTTGTTATACATGTACATTCATTCAGAAAATACACCTTCCCAAGGGAAACTAAGGTATCTTCATTCCAATAGTTCACAATAAATGTCTTTACATGTAACCTACTGTAAAGAATTACAAATTTCATGTATGAACTCTTGACTCTCAATATTTACAATTTACTCAATTTTGATAAAATAAATATCCCAAGGGAATACCCTGTACCAATATTTTCACTGACCTGTACAGGTAGTTTAACAATGAATTTCACTCTCGGGGATGTATGCATCGAGTTTACATGAAGTTGATAAATCAATGCTAAACATTAAGCTCCCTGTTGTTGTATGTAATATAAACAAAGATGTAAAGTACCACCTCGTTATGATATTCAACTCATTTGCCTTTGACAACTTTAACTTTTTTGTCCCATGGGTAAAAACGAGGTATGAGATGAGATAGTTTTGCGAAAGATTTCGTTCTTCAGCAGCAAAGAGGCATCTTAAGGGGGACAGAGAAGGACATGATTGTGGAGGGGCTAGGCAGGCCAGCAATGATCATGTTTTCGAGTTCATTTATAATGACTTATTGTCAAATTAAATACATAAACTTCAAATCTTCACATTATCTGTGAGAAGAGTTTTAAGCAGAAGAATCTCTTTTATTGATTGCCTTTTTCTAAATGGTTATATTGATACTTGTTTTACACTGTACACAGACTGCACATAGACTGCTGATATTAAATTTGTATTTACAGGACAACTTGGAGTTAAAAATTGTTGTTAAGTACTGCTTGGCGGATGAGATGGACAAGCACTTTATGACACAAAAAATAAACCTTGGTCTACCACTCATCGCCAATCTGCACCTTTACAAGAGAGTCACAGAACCCATAGAGCACATCGACGAATCCTAGTCGCCAAGTCAACCGATAGAATGTGTAGATTGACTGAACCCATAGAGCACATTGACGAATCCTAGTCGCCAAGTCAACGGATAGAATGTGTAGATTGACTGAACCCATAGAGCACTAGTCACCATGTCACCTATTGAATGCATGGAGTCAGGGAACTGACAGACACATAGAGGAATCTTAGTCTCTAAGTCAACCAGAAGATTGCATAGAGTCACAGAACCCATAGAAACATAAAGGAATCTTAGTCTCTAAGTCAACCAGAAGATTACATAGAGTCACAGAACCCATAGAGAACATAGAGGAATCTTAGTCTCTAAGTCAACCAGAAGATCGCATAGAGTCACAGAACCTATAGATAACAAAGAGTAATCTTAGTCTCTAAGTCAACCAGAAGATAGCATAGAGTCACAGAACCCATAGAAAACATAAAGGAATCTTAGTCTCTAAGTCAACCAGAAGATAGCATAGAGTCACAGAACCTATAGATAACAAAGAGTAATCTTAGTCTCTAAGTCAACCAGAAGATCGCATAGAGTCACAGAACCCATAGAGAACATGAGGAATCTTTGTCTCTAAGTCAACTGATCGAAGGCTTAGTCACAGAACCTATAGATAACATAGAGGAATCTTTGTCTCTAAGTCAACTGATCGAAGGCTTAGTCACAGAACCCATAGAGAACATAGAGGAATCTTAGTCTCTAAGTCAACTGATCGAAGGCTTAGTCACAGAACCCATAGAGAACATAGAGGAATCTTAGTCTCTAAGTCAACTGATCGAAGGCTTAGTCACAGAACCCATAGAGAACATAGAGGAATCTTAGTCTCTAAGTCAACTGATCGAAGGCTTAGTCACAGAACCCATAGAGAACATAGAGGAATCTTAGTCTCTAAGTCAACTGATCGAAGGCTTAGTCACAGAACCCATAGAGAACATAGAGGAATCTTAGTCTCTAAGTCAACTGATCGAAGGCTTAGTCACAGAACCCATAGAGAACATAGAGGAATCTTAGTCTCTAAGTCAACTGATCGAAGGCTTAGTCACAGAACCCATAGAGAACATAGAGGAATCTTAGTCTCTAAGTCAACTGATCGAAGGCTTAGTCACAGAACCCATAGAACACATTGATGAATCCTAGTCGCCACATCAACCAGAAGGATGCGATTGTTACAGCACCCACACAGCACATAAAGCTATATCCTAGTCTCCATGTAAAATGATAGAAAGATAAGTCTTTACCTCCATATAAACTAATGGAAAACGTCAACAGCCTTTTATATCAATGAAAACAAAACTAATTCAAAGATGAGCCTTTGTTTCAATTAAAAAAGTCATACTCAACGTAGAACAGTTTCAGCCTATACATTGACACATAAAACACACATCATTCTATAGAAATGTATTTAGCATATTGTACAAACATAATCACTTAAGAAGAAGAATTAGCATAAATTCAAAGCAATTCATATGCATGCAACACAAAGACCATACAATCCCTAGAATAAATTAAAAGTGATATACAAATCAAACTGAACTAGCTATAATGTATACAGCAAAAATAATATACGAACCAATACAACACAATGAAATACCATACAGACAGGAACAGAACAAATACATTACCTAGTACATTGTATACAGAACAAATACATTACTTATAGTACATTGTATACAGAACAAATACATTACCTATAGTACATTGTATACAGAACAAATACATTACCTAGTTTATTGTATACAGAACAAATACATTACCTAGTACATTGTATACAGAACAAATACAGTATTGAATTCTGTACATAGCCAAAGAACAAAGCTATCACTTTAGCTACTATACAATCCCATACAGTTCGTCAATTTATATTAGCTTTGACATATACGGTAGTTTGAGTTTTACCAATCAAACCACAAATATTTGATGGAATGGAACGGAATTTACAAGAAACTGAACACTTGACATTCAGAACAGTTGGCTTGAACAATATCATATTCAACGTAAGATAATGGAAGAATAGGACCAGACAAGTTTAATGAAAGGAACAACCTGACAAATGAACATGTGAATTGCATGGAGGATTCCAATCAATGTTGGAGACTTGTAATATTAACTTTACATGCTTGTTCATATGCAGTATATCAATCTTTGAAATGTTGAATAATTTTAATGGAAAGATAGATGAATATAGACAGTAGGTCTATAATCTAGAAAGTAGGTCTATAATCTAGACAGTAGGTCCATCATCTAGACAGGAGGTCTATCATCTAGACAGGAGGTCTATCATCTAGACAGTAAGGTCTAAAATTTTGAGAAGAAAACTTATTTTTATTTTTATAATAACATTTTTTTTTAAGATTTATTGGTTACTATTTTCTAATTTAATCAAACATCCCTACAACTTAATAGATATGGGCTTGAAATATGGAATTAATGCGTCTTTGAAATTAAATATGAAGCTTAAAATTGTTGTCATTTGGAGTTTTGTAACAGTGATGAGTTTAGATGCAGGCAGAAACCTTTTTGTATATTTTGCAAAAAATGTAGTTAATATGACATCAAATATTGCATATATATATACTTAGATACACTAAACATTGTTAATAAAAGTCTGTTATCCGTCACAGCTTGGACTTGTGATGTTGTGTTGTTACGAGAGGATCATAAACTGGGTAGATCATTTATTCTAACATGCCTGTAGTATTAAAATACTTCTGTGTAACTTTATATATGGCCGTAACTGCCCTCTGCTGTCATAGTATACGTAGCTAAATTATTTTTGTATTGTTGCGACTTTCAAATCATTCACCTTAGTGTATATGACATCAAAATAAATAATAGAGCATTTGAGATAACAGGCTGGTACTTATGGTAACACGATGCTCTTCATTTTCTTTCATTCCAGTCTGTATAATGTGTGTATAATGTTATAGAACTATCCAGGATAACAAAGGAGTATAAGAATAATATAAAACTCTTTTATGTCCAGTGGTTCAGGATAGGGCAATTCCAATCAATGGGCTTTCACAATGGGTAAAAACCTCCAGGTTTTTGCCATGGATTTTGTCACAATTTTGAAACTTGAGGGTTGAATTTTCTGATCCTATAGTACCCATGGGTATTTAAGATTTTTTTTCTCTGGTTCCATTTTAAAATGGTATCGAGCCAAAACACTTTTTATGGTTCCTCATGAGCTCATATTGTCGAATCAGAGAAGACTCTGTTTCATAGCCAGAGGATAGGAAAATTCAACCCTCAGGTTTTCCAAGTTGGGGCATTAATCATGGTTGTATCAGTTTGTAAAGGTCCCTGTAGTCCAAATTATTCTGACGTTTTATCGACTTTTTTTATATCGGTCTGTCGTTGATTATTTCCCACATATTATAGAGGGCCGGAGTTCTGACGTTAATCGACGACAGGCCGATATAAAAAAAAGTCGATAAAACGTCAGAAAAATTCGAACTAAGGTCCCTGTATTTTATTTTAATACAGGGATTGGTTTATTTATAAAGTTGTTTACATGTTGTATTATAGCACTAAGCTGTCATTGAAGTGTTAGTCATCTGATAATCTAGGATGTTTCTATGTATAGAAGATCTTAACGGTGCTGTGTATTCACATACTGTTAGTGTGATGACGATTTGTAAATGAAACTGGTACTAATGAATATTTAGTACATGGACATAGAGAATAATACATGCCTTTTTCCATATCACACCCAGTATCAACCCCAGACTGTTCGGCCCTCGGGCTGATATTGTTTGAGGGTTGATACTGGGTGTGATATGGAAAAGGGCATGTTTTATTCTAATGTATTATATACTTACTAATAAAAATTACTACCTTATTATCTATTTTTCTTTTCAAAAGGGGTGTGATACAGGTTTTGTGGGCTGATACAGGTTTTGAGGTGTGATACGGCGGGGGCTGATACAGATTTTGGGGTGTGATACGGCGAGGGCTGATATGAGTTAGAGCAATTGTGTCGTATCGCATATACAAAAAACCTGTATTTATTAAAATATGTAATAAATGTAAATATCTTCCATTACAATACAAATATTTATCAATTATGGACTTTTGTTGAGGTGAATAAGAGGTTACATGGATCTAAGTAAGTGATAATGACCGAGACTTTGACTTTGTCTCCTACAATATCACTTTATCAGGTCCATATATAACCACATATTCACCAAAAGAAGTCTCAGTCAATATCAATTTCTCAGGGTTATAATTGTAACCACACATCACTGGAAATAAAAGTCCTTAACTGTCGTAGTAGATGCTAGATATTTTTGGAACGCATACAAATTGTTATGGAGGAAGTACTGCTTTTTGCAGAGAGCATATAGTGACGTTAAAATTGAAATGTCGTCACTTGGTGAATATTTACCTGCTGTTTCTAAAAATAATACAGCAATACGAAGACAATGTCACAAATCATCGACCTCCATGTGTTTATGATTCAGCCAATAAATACATAGGGAAAATGTGTGTCATCTATAGTAGTACATGTATAGTTGATATAGTAGGGGGTTATCTGATTTGAGCGTAACCTGTAATATCGAGTACATTTATGTATCCATATGTAAATTAACACATGAAAAGACATGCAATTCATCAACCAGTGTCAGGTAGGTCATCAGAAGCGGATACTTTATGATGCCAAAATATAGATTTTGGTTTGTTTGTGTTTTACATCCTATAAACAGCTATGGTCATTTAAGGACGTGCCATGTTTTGGTGGTGGAGGAAAGTTCCCGGAGAAAAACCACCGACCTACAGCCAGTACCTGGCGACTGCCCCACGTAGGTCTCGAACCTGCGACCCAGTGTAGGTGGAGGGCTAGTGGTAGCAGAATGTCAGTCACCTTGACCACTTGGCCAACGCAGCCCCCCAAAATATAGAAATACTGAATCAGGCTAGCAATATTAAAGTGACGTTGTAAAATATTGCATGGTAATATAAGTATGCAGTAATATCATTTCTGATGCGGTAACTGTCTTGAGGGGCCTGTTCTCTTGTTGATCTTTATAGATATACATATAATGTACTTAATTAATTCCTAATATTTATGAAAATGTGTTCAATGACTTTGTTCGAATTATTAAAGATAATGCAACATCTTTTATTTGTTTTTCTTCACATCCACAGATTTCAGAAGTGCTTGCGTTAACCACTGATATTTAGTTTGCCAGTGGTATATTTTTTATTGAACTTTGTTGTTTGGGCACTAATATGTAAACGATTACTTTTGTTGCCCTCATGCATATTATTACAGCTGCTGTACTTACAATCAAGAAATTCTTTGATTTCTAATTTAAATAAATGTACAAAAAGATATTAAAATGAAGCATTTTTGGCAGGAAAGAAACATTTTTGTTTTGAACAATTAATTTGAAATGTTTATTTTTGAATAAATGATGTTGCATTTTGTGAATAATTAGGAATTAAGTGCTTCGTTGATGTTGTTTGGGCACTAATATGTCAACGATTACTTTTGTTGCCCTCATGCATATTATTACAGCTGCTATACTTACAATCATGAAATTCTTTGATTTCTAATTTAAAAATGTTAATTCTTTTAATTTTGATAATATATTAAGAAATTTGTTATCTTTTATTAATTCATTCTTTTTCATACCATGGAAATATACAAGGAAAACAAAAGATATGATTGTGATGCGCAAATAATTTATTCATTGAAACAAGAAGTTCAAAAATACTTAAATAAATGTACAAATAGATATTAAAATGAAGCATTTTTGGCAGGAAAGAAACATTTTTGTTTTGAACAATTAATTTTAAATGTTTATTTTTGAATAAATGATGTTGCATTTTGTGAATAATTAGGAATTAAGTGCTTCGTTGATGTTGTTTGGGCACTAATATGTCAACGATTACTTTTGTTGCCCTCATGCACATTATTACAGCTGCTGTACTTACAATCATGAAATTCTTTGATTTCTAATTTAAAAATGTTAATTCTTTTAATTTTAATAATATATTAAGAAATTTGTTATCTTTTATTAAAGTTTGATCATAAAATGTAAGTTCCTATTTAAATGTTTAACATTATATACTGGTTGATACTGTAATGAATGTCTGAATTGTTTTAATTTATGTTATAATTATTTTAATATGTGTGACAGACATACTTTAATAAAATGAATGGAAATGGTAACATTAGTCCATATTTTCTTTCAAACTTTGTACAAGGATTTAAATACATATTGTCAAAATCAAAACTTTGCCCAAACATCTTGTTATTAAAGTAGACATGGATGTGGGTTTTGTGATGTGTAATGCTCCCATGTAAATAACCCAAAGGTCAAGCTCAAAGGTCAATACTTATATGAACTGTTACTATTTATTGACACCAAATATTGATATGAAATTTCATAGGTGTGTGTATCGTTCGAATAACACGTTCTCTGGTTAGTGCAAGCTGGCTATTTCGAATAGTCAAAGAGGAATTTCTTGTAATGTTGTCTACACCCAATTTTAAATATTATGATTTGCGATGAATGAAGATGACCATTACCAAATTCATTCTTTTTCATACCATGGAAATATACAAGGAAAACAAAAAGATATGATTGTGATGCACACATTTTATTCATTGAAACAAGAAGTTCAATTACTTAAATAAATGTACAAATAGATACTAAAATGAAGCATTTTTGGCAGGGAAGAAACAGTTTTGTTGTGAATGATTAACTTGAAATGTGTATTCATTCAAACATTCACAAAGGAACGTGGGCATTAGAATTTGCCAAATATGTTTTATTGGAAATAATCTTGAGAAGATTCAGCACATTTTCAATAGTTAGAGTTTTGACTTACGAAAAATCCAATCAAGCTCATGTAGTAATTAATAGCTACTGTCTCAAATTCACAATGTTAAATCATTTGAAATATATAAATGATCAGGAAACAGTTCTTATTTGTTTAAAAATTTGATACAACTACTTCAGGCTCAATGTTATATGTCATTGATCAGTGACATAAATTAGGCAGATCAGTGGCTTGGCCTTGAGGAAACACTATAGCATATCATGTTCATGTTTTCTCATTTCAATCTGAATCACCTGTCTCTCTTTAAGTGTCCTTGAAATTGAAAAGTTTTGTTGAGTTTTTTTGTTAGTGTGGAGTCATTTGGTTGAGAATGAAGGGTGGTCATTCAGACATATAATATAACTTGTCACAAGAATACAAGTAGTATTACAAAGAGCAAGTTACTAATCCCTGTCTATGCTCATATTATATAAATCCTTGTTTTGAAGAACAAGATTTTTTTCTAAATAACATGTGCTTCATATACCGTAAAACAATTAAATTCTTATCAGTTAATAAATAGATCCAGAATGTCCTGTAAATTAATGTGGCAAGAAAGATGCTAGCATCATCCCATAGTAACTTGGATGGTAATTTGCATACAGTGTTGGTATCCATGACGACAGCTGACCAGCGCTCAACATCCCATGAAGCATGACCATTCCTGTGTAGCCACATGACAGAGCTTTGTCCACATATTTGGCTGCAGTGGTCAGTAGGCTGTTACTGTCCAGAGTCTCTGCCCAATGTCCACATGCCTAGATATTAATGAATAGCATAGGAACTTCAACGTTTTATAATGCACTACATTAACATGCATGAATGACATAAGTTAGTTAATTGGTAATATTTGCTAATCCCAGTGGGAGCTGGCCAGATGGCTTTGCCCATGACCGGATGTCACAGTTTTTAGGGTGTCTTTCTAGAGTTTTGAGGTCCTAGGTTCAAATCCCAGTCTGGCCCAGTTGTATTTTTCCTCTCTTGTCCTCTCCAATTGAAATCTACATTAGTACAGACTCTTTGAATGCAATTATGGTCGTGACCTTCAAGTATTCCATTTTTCACGAATTTGATTAAGTTAATCAACGAAATCACAGTCCATGTTACTATCCTCTTGCATCAAAATTTTGAGGGTATATAGGTTTCCGCCCATATGTTTTGCCTATGGAACACTCTTTGTCATCGCTCTAGCGACTTCATTTCTCAAAGGAATTTCATGAAACTTCATACAAGTGTTTGGTATGGCATTGCCTTGAATAAATTCGCATTTCAGGTTTTTACGTTGAAGGTCAAGGTCACTGTTACTATTGTTAGGAAAAAAAACTTTGTCATCGCTCTAGTGACTTCATTCCTCTACGGAATTTAATGAAGCTTGATACAAGCAACATCCTTTTTTCTGTGTCCAAAAATAATCTGGACTTAGGTTTTTGAAGATTTTCCTCTTTTTCATATGGGATTTTCTTCTAATATCAACCATCCTGTGAACTATGATTTTCTATGTATCAATAAAATATGTTTAAACTAGGGTCTCCAGTACTAGTCAGGTCAGTGGTGAAGGCTCAAAGGACTGTCTACCTAATTGTATTGTTCTAATGTCACGGTGTGGTGATCACCCTGTCCGTTGAGAGAGGATAAAACCATCTGTTGGAATTAGGTATATGTATATTTATATGTTACTTGTTATTTCAAAGGTAGAGTCCATTTCATGATAGATAAACATGTATTTTCACCTTTGGTTTCATGTACACATGATCACTAGGAGTGATTTATTATACCTGTTAAAAAATGTAAATTTCAAAGACAATAAAGCATCCACCTTAGCATCACATTATCAGGTGAATAATAACCAATGTTAGCATAAAAGCCTGGCATGTATATATATATATCCTTTTTAACAGGTGTTGCCCTTGTACATATGCATGCATACAAATTCACAATAAAAGACAAACAGTCAAATCATAATTCATATTTATGACAAAATAAATCAATATTTAATTGCCAAAATGCTCGTCGCCTAAACTACATGCACATGAAAGGCATGACACATACATCAACATTTTAACCAAAAACCTACATTTTTAGCATTGTTTCAGAGAATTTGTTAACACTCGCTCCGCTCGGCCATCATAAAATATAAATACTCTATGTTATAAAATATAACCTGGAATAATACCGCAAACTCAGAAAACTATTTTATGCCTTATTCGATCTGTTTGACAATGGAAATAATGTCCGATAAATTCTAGCTTTCTACGCTTGGCAGTGCTTCAACAAGTTAAGTTTTATATCTTCAGAAAAAATAGTTCACCTCACTCTGCCCGGCAGGGTAATTACAATTGTCACAATCTCAGAAATAATGAAGTTCTATTTATTGTTTGGTGCCAGAAAGTAGTATACATGTACAACCAACATGACAATTATAATTTACTAGTTTTTTTTAGGTTAAGGTCACTGTTACTATTTTTAGAAAAAAGCTTAATCATCGTTCTAGCGACTTCGTTACTGAACGGAACAAGTTTGTGTTTCGGGTTACTGCGTTTAATGTATTTCTTGACACTTTTTCTAAAAATGTTCATCGTCTATCTACTTTATTCCTCAAAGATTACCATTAGAAGTTTGGCTACAATTAATCCAGAATGGCTGTATTTGTTATCTAGAGTTAAGTATATACCTAGGTACACTAAATGTTTCAAAAATAATAATTACTGAACAGTACATTACTAGAATACTGTAACCTGTTAGGGTCTCATGATGATGTTTGCAAGTAATCTGATGGTTTCTCATGTTAACAGTGTAGGTACAGTGTAATTCCGAAGTCCACTACCTGTGTTAGCTAACTACCTGTATTAGCTAACTACCTCTGTATTAGCTAACTACCTGTATTAGCTAACTACCTGTATTAGCTAACTACATGTATTAGCTAACTACCTGTGTGAGCTAACTACCTGTATTAGCTAACTACCTGTGTGAGCTAACTACCTGTGTGAGCTAATTATCTGTGTGAGCTAACTGCCTGTGTTAGCTAACTATCTGTTTGAGCAAACTACCTGTAGTAGCTAACTATCTGTGTGAGCTAACTACATGTATCTGTATTAGCTAACTATCTGAATTAGCCAACTACCTGTATTAGCTAACTACCTGTATGAGCTAACTACCTGTGTGAGCTAATTACCTGTATTAGCTAACTATCTGTATTAGCTAACTAACTGTATTAGCTAACTACCTGCAGTTGATTTAAAATTTCCATCACAAACAAACCTGATCAAACGGTTCAGCAGCATCAGAGTAGCCATATGGTCCATTTTTCTGGTGAGTATGGGCCAGATCAGCACTCACTATCACAACCACTGTCTGGTTCAAGGCACGGAGATAATGGTATAGTTGGGTACCTGTCGATAAACACAACCATGGATAGAGTATAAGCATGAAAATAATTACATTATATTTATATCCTAAACTTGACCAGCAATGTTGTGGTATGGGGTTTTCTATCCCACTGTCCAAAGTCTTAATTAGATGAAACTATTATGTTAACAGTTACAATCTTGCATATTCCTTGCAAGATCCTATTGGCCATATGGAAAAAGCATTCACAAAACTATATGAACACAGAACATTTATCACTGGTTTGGTGAATGACTTTTTAAAAGTCGAGGGGCCAATAGAGAAAAACAAACTGCCAATCACTATGAGTTACATGGAACTCACAGTATTTGGACAATGGGGTGTGTGGCAGTTCACTTCAAATAACACAGCAGAAATCAATCCCTAAAATAATTTGTTGCAGTATAATTCAGTCATTAGCAATGTGATAAGTACATACAGAGTATGGCATTGAAGAAGCATTTTTGAACATATAGGACTGCACATTGTCTTGTCATTGATTTTCCAGGATCATTTTTTTCTTGGAATAATATATAATTCATCATGCATAGAGTATTGATAAAGTGTACTTGACCTGTAACTTGCCAGGATAGAGAGCTACCAAGTGTGATCAAATGGATAACATCAACCTTGACCCATTTCAAGTTCACAGAGGTCAAATGTTTTTTTTGTGTTTTTTTTTAAATAAAATAACTTAATTCTTTCAAAAGTTCATATTTGGCCTGCAGCATGCAGATATGAATAACTAGCAATTTTGCCAAAATAATGTTGATCCTCTTTAATGAGTGAAGCCAAGCAGGAAAAAGGTAACCTGACAGTGGTATGGTAAGATCTTGCAAACGCCTACAGATCTGTACCACACAATCTGATTGAGGCAGCCTGGGACCATTATCATATTACGGAGCACATCTGGAAAATGATAATGAGCTGCTTCGGAGGGATACAGTTGCGGTTTACAGTTGGGGAGAGCACTACGGCATGGCATGACCTGGAAAAGGGAATAGTTACAGGATGTACCATTTCATCAATACTCTTCATCATGGGAATGAATATCATCATCAAGGCAGCAGAGAGAGAAACCAGAGGACCTAGAATGGAGTCGGGCATCTATCAACCAGCCAATAGAGGCTTCATGGATGACCTAACAATCACTAAATTAGTGACCACCACACATGTACAGGCCAGATGGTGCAAATGGTGCAGAAAGAAATCAGAAGGATTCAGGAGGAATTCATGAGGAACATGGAGCATGGACCAGATGGAATCTCCCAGAGAGGAAGATGACATGGGCGAAAATATGGAGGATGGAGCCCTTCCGGATATCATTCCTGCTACGATCCGTGTAGGATACGCTACCATCTCCTGTTAACCTGCATCAGTGGGGATTGACGGAGGATCCTTGCTGCAAACTATGCGGAGGAAGAGGAACAATGGCTCATATCTTGTCTGGTTGCAAAGAAGCACTAAGACAGGGTAGAAACAGATGGAGGCACAACAACGTCTTGCTGGTCCTAGCAGATACCATTGAAGTGGAGAGAAGGAAGAAAAGAACTGGTGTAAGAACAAACCAGGCTGGTATCAGGTTTGTGAAACCAGGGGAGAAAACCACAGTAAAGCCTCAAAGCATCTCATCCATCTTGGAACGGGCGCAAACATGGGAGATGAAGGTTGACCTTGACAGGAAGCTTGTGTTTTCAGGAATTGTGGAAACAACGCTGAGGCCTGACATGGTAATATGGTCAGAGCAATCAAGACGCCTCATCGCCATAGAGCTCAGCGTACCATGGGAGGAAGGCTGGGGGGAAGCCCACAAGAGGAGGAAAGCGAGGTATGATGAGCTAATGGAAAAGTGCAGGAGCAAAGGATGGACAGTATGGCAATTTCCAGTGGAGGTTGGCTGTAGAGGTTTCCCTGCACAGTCAGTGTGGAGGACACTACAGTTGATAGGACTCACTGGGAGGGCAAGAGCCACAGCCATCAGACTATTGGGAGAAGCTGCAGAGAGAGCATCATGATGGCTATGGCACAAACAAGAAGAGCCAATGTGGAAGCCGACATAGACGAGTAGTGGCTTGGCCACCACACCACTACTGACCCACCAGATGGAAGAAGTAGTGATTACGGTTCGAAACATCTGAAGAGGGCTGGCCATCATCTTATGACGTCAAATGAGGCTATGTGACAAGAATGACAACAGTGATTGACTACAAGTCAAGGATGTCACAAGGTGCAGAATTACTATCATCTGTAAGCAATCATCGATTTTTTGAGAAATCAGTGACTTCTAGAAAAGGCTGGATAGAAATTGGGGAAAACCAGTGGTGCTGGAGAGACAGATGACATCCAGGAACAGACTGGGGCAGGGTACTTTGTGTCAGCAGCTCAGAGTATAGCTCCCTCAAGGGGGCACCTATATCAAGCTACAGAACAAAGAAAAGAGCAACACCCTCAGAGCCTCCCGAGAGGGGGGGAGGATGAGAGGCTCATTCGGACAGATTAAATAGAAACAACCAGGACACGGACAAATTTATTAAACATGATGACGATGATTCAAACAACGTTAAGTGGAGAGCCAGTTGATGCAAGATGCCATTGTGGAAAGATATGCAAGAACATCAGTGGGCTGAAAATCCAACAGGCAAGGACCAAATATGGCCGTAGGGAGATACTTAGGCAGTGCACAGATATCAGCAATGAATCTGGTGAGACGCAGGAGGAACTCAGTCAGGAGTCAAACCATAGTACAGAGAGCCTACAAGCTTCGGTGTCGCCAGATGGCAGCATTGGTAACTTGAATGAAGCGAGCGCCCGTGGTGTTCAAGCAGTGAGGGACAGGAGATTAGACAAAGTGCAGTGGCCCAAGACAAATGACGAGGCAGCTTGGCGAAATCTTGATCAGGACCTGGAGGCTATTTTGGAGACAACTCTACAGGGGAATGTGGAGAGGAAAGTAGAACCACTGACCTCAAATGTGTACAATGTATGCAAAGAACGATTTGGAGTGGAAACATCCAGAACACAACCCAGAGCAAAGACAACAAAGGAGAACGGGAGGGAATATAAGATCAAACAACTGTGAAAAGAGCTGAGGGAATTAAGAAAGAGATTTAAAACAGCACCAGAGAATGAAAACGTTGGCATACAGCAGTACAGAGGCTACCTTAGGGAGACAATTTGTGTGAGTAAATTACGTTGTTTTCTCAAAAATTGATGACGTTACTCTCACAAACAAATGATGTAACAATCAATACCTGCTCACAAGAGAAGATAACTCTGCAACACGCAAAGACGGAATACCTTTGATCTGGTGTAGAGGTGTATTACAGTAATACACATACATATCTTCTGATGTCGCTTACTTTATTCTGCATTTTTAAAGAGTTTGTCTGACGACGCTTGTTGTCACTTGAAGACGCTTGTTGTCGGTTGAAGACGCTTTTAAATGTGACCGGTTTGTGGTTAACCCTCATTTTCAACCCATATATCCTTCTTAACTTTCACACAACTCACCTAGTTCTAAAAGTTCTGGAATCATAGCAACTGATTCTGTGTATCGGCGACTAGGTTGACTCATAACAATAATCTGGATCCTTGATAAATTAGGTATGGTGTAAAGGAGAATCACTTCACCCCATCTGAAAAACAAATAGAAAAAAATGATTACCAGGTATCTTTAAATGGGTCATCTGATCCATTTTTTTTAAAGTATCTTTGATAATGGCTACTGGTTGGTTAAACAAAAGTCCAAAAATGTGTCTGATCATAAGTATATATCTATTAAGAATGACAAAAAACATTGCTACTGTATACTAAATAGATAGATTAACAACTAAAAAATGTGATACATGTACATATGTATAAATAACTGATAAATATTTGGTATATTGATCATAGTTTTATGTAGATTCAAAAGATCATGTCATTGGACTGATAAGTAATATACTATCCTTGAAATCTAGAACAAATATCTATAAATAAAACTCAAGTGAGCTCATTATATTTTGTATTTATTATTTTGTGTACAAATATTTTCACATGAATTAAGTTATTTTTGTTCAAATAAAAATGACGATTTGAAAGTTGTTCTGTAATGAATACAACACCAGTTTACCTTAGTGGGAAATACTCTGAGCCCCCTGGTGGTCCAAATGCACTAAGTCCTGATAACTTAAATGTATTCTTAAACAAATTGACAATGTCTTCCGATATGCCATAGGCAAAGTTTGCCGAAATGTTGAAGCAAGCTGGTGGGCACTGAATATTGTCTGTATCAGCACTCCCCTGTCCTGCTGAGTTCAAATACAACATAAACTTGTCCGAATCTGCCACCCCGTGTGGGGTACTCAAAAAGATTATATCAGGGTTTAAATCATCAATATGTTGTCCAATAAGCCTGTAGTTTTTATGTAATATCCATGCGTGTTCCTTGGCAGTAGCATTTGTAGTGTTGAACTGATCAGGTGCAAGTACAATGCCACCATGCGGAACAATAAAAGCTCCAGTTATCGTACAACTAGCCAGCGAACAAAGCGAAAGTGAAAGTAAAGAGAGATACACATAGATACAATGATGAAAATACATAACTTTCTTTGTTATTGGCAATGAATATATAGGTATGTTAGAACAAGATTGCTGCAAATTTGCTTGTTATGCATCGTGTTTTAAGTATTTCTACAACAACGTAATAATATATTATATTCCTCGGAAAGCAACTAAATGTAACTTTAATCAAACGAGAGTTCCAAATGATTACGTGGTTGTCCCCCTTGAAAGATTTGTTAGTTGGCATACACTCTGTGCTTGAATCAATACTTTTTGGCATTTGAATTCAATTTAAGATTCATGATCTGCCACATCTGTCCACTACAATAAGTTGATTCAGAGAATCACACACCATTGTTATGTTGGAAATAAGCAGTATAATATTTATGTCACAGTCTCATATACATTGTATGCAGTCCAAAGTTTTACACATGGAATCACATGGGTTCGTTACAAATGTCTAAACTACACATACATATATACATGCAACTGCTGTACTGATATGGGCCAAAGCACACATAAGTAACACGTGTATGTAGGCTTATATGTGCTGTGACCCATATCAGTATAGCATATATGTACATGTACAAGTGGATGTGTATTTTAGACATTTGTTACGAACCCCTGCGGTTCATTCGTACTATCAACATCTGTACCGTTCCCTAAAGAAAACCTGTCTGTTGCGCATATGACATGACTAGTACTGCTCCTGCACCTGAAGAATGTCGGTTTCAGTATCCTTTGTTAAAAGTATTTTCAAGATAATAATAATAATAATAATAATAATAATAATAATAATGTTTATTCGGGTAAAAGATACATGGCAAACATTAAATTACATTACACAAGCAATGAGATCACGTATGGTATTCGATAAAAGACTGACCTTCAGATATCACAAAATGCATATGACTAAAAATTATATTAATTTCAAGTAAAAAGCATATATTCAGCACTAGGTAGTAGTATTATCACAGCTTGTATGAATATCACATTAAATATTGGAGGTACAGACAATGAAAAATAATCTTGAACTGGTAATCTTTTACCTAGAATGGCCCATGAAAGTTTGTTTGTTTGTTTGTTTTTTATTTCCAATGAGGTCCTTTGGAAAAATATTAGCAACCGGTCAAAATGTTAGGATAGTTCTTATAATGAATACTATAATTAATAACTTAAAGTGGTATAGGGTAAATAAATATTATAAAAAGACACATTCATTTTGGTGTTCCCTCTTATCTATTCCATCAAGTGATGTTTAAACTGAAGTTTAAATTGATGTTTTTTGTGTAGACATTTGATTGACCAAGGTAAAGAATTCCAGTCTCTGATTCCATTATAGAAAAAAGTGGAGGACTCAGCTCCGCTAAGGGGAGCTGAGTCCTCCACTTTTTTCTATAATGGGCCTAATAGATTGTACTAAAAAATTGTGATCACAAGATCTTGTAAAACGAGTATTGCTATTTCTAATTAAACCTTTGTTCATATACTTTGGATGATATAATATTGAAAACATGGTTGAGACGAATCTGTTTAGCTCTATGATTTACATTTAGCATATTTTACGAGGCAAGTTCCTCAAATGATATTCGTTTCCTATGATCCAACCGGAGAATAAATCTTACAACTTTGTTCTGCATAATTTGTAGTTTATGTTGAATTTGTTTGGCTAGGCTGCTGTACCAGGACGAGCAGGCATAATCAAAATGGCATTGTATCAGTGCTGAACACAGTGTTTTTTCTGGATTTCATTGATAGACATTCACTATTTCTATAAAGAAATTTTAGTTTCTGGTTAATTTTATGAATTGCGTTGAGTACTATACTTTCCCCAGATAGGAATTCATCTAGCTGAACACCAAAAGAGGACCCAGATTACTTCCTTGTGGTACTCCATAAGTTACATGTCCTGCATTAGATGTAACATTGTTTATATGAACAACTTTCTTTCTGTCAGATAAATAGGATTTAAACCAGGAGATTGATTCGACACCCATAATTTTTAATTTATCACAGAGAATTTCATGATTGATGGTGTCGAAAGCTTTTTGTAGATGGAGTAGTACCATACCCGTAAATAAACCATTGAATGTTTGAGATTGTATGTGATCAAAAATATGTATAAGACAGGAATCTGTTGAATAAGATTATCTGAATCCAGATTGGAATTCGTACAGCAAATTATTATCTGACAAAAATAGTTCAAGCTGTCTATAAACAGCCTTTTCTAGCAATTTAGAAACAATATTGAGTATGCTTATTGGACGGTAGTTTTCTGCTTTCAGTAGACTGTTCTTTTTAAAAAGAGGTTTGACCTTGGCAAGTTTTAATTCATCAGGAACCTTTCCCTCCGATATAGACATATTTATTAAAAATGTAAGGAACCTTTAAAACTGGTGCTGCATCTTTCAAAAATCTGGCAGGAATACCATCTAGACCTGTAGTTTTTCCACTATTAAGATTACATAATTCTTTACAAACAAAATCTTCTGAAACATGTTTCAAGTAAAACTTATTTTGATTGTGATTTCTTTCAGCATAAACAATCTGTACAAGGGTAGAAGATGAATGGTAAATTCCCGAGGGACTAGGAAGCTTTTCCACCAATTTAGATGCAATATTTGTGAAAAATTCATTGAAATGATTGGCATTATTCAAACCATCCGCATGGGATCGATCATCTTTTACCGTAATTGGTGACAAAAACAAAAGTACGTGGCAACAAAAATGTGTCCAAATTCTTAATCTACTTGCATCTCTCGAAATGTTTTAAAGTTTTTTCCCCCCGACACGGAAAAAGTGATATTGTTTATTCAGAAGAAGTTGTTTAAAGATTTTGAGCATATTTGACCCCTGTGACCTTGAATATGGGTGAAGGTCATTTATTTGAACAAACTTGGTAGCCCTCCTTCCTAGCATGCTATTGGCCATATATATATATATATCCACAGCCTTTCGGTTATTCAGAAGAAGTCGTTTAAAGATTTTAATCATATTTGACCCCGTGACCTTGGGTGAAGGTCATTTATTTTAACAAAGTTGGTTGCCCTGCATCCCAGCATGATACTGACCAAATATCACCATCCTGGTCCTTTTGGTTACTCAGAAGAAGTTGTTTAAAGTTTTTTAAGACAATTGATCCTCTGTGACCTTGAATATGAGTGGAGGTCATTCATTTGACAAACTTGGAAGCCTATCATCCTAGCATGTTACTGGCCAAATATCATCACCCTGGGTCGTTAAATTTAGAAGCCAATCAGCGCCAAGGCCAAAAAAGTTAGAGAAAATGGCAAGCTCTGTTCAGATTTCCAATCGGCAGCCTGACCAGCTTGAAAACTGGACTCGTGTATCCGACATGAACTAGGATACAAGTAAGTTTGTTTTCTATCGTAGAAACACTGTACCGACATTGAATAATGTACATGCCATGTGTTAAGCGCTACCCACCAGGGATTTAGCATGTCATCCCGAGGACAGCACAGTGTCTGACCAACTGGAATTCGACCATTTTTCGATGTTTCATGAAGTCTACCGAAAAATTCTACTGCACGATATTGGGCAAATCATACATTAAATTAAAAAATACATATTTTCCTGTCAATCTAGGCTGCTCCCGGTGTCATATTATGAACGATTTTGACAAAATCGCATGCTTTCTGGAACGAGTTATATTTAGTAACCTTGAGTATTGGCTCACCTGGTCCGAAGGACCATGGTGAGCTTATGCCATACCGCAGCGTCCGTCGTCCGTCCGTCAACTTTTCCTTTAAAACGCTACTTCTTCTGAACGGCCAGGTAGATTTTGACCAAATTTGGTCAGAAGCATCCTTGGGGGAAGGGAAACAAATGGTGTATAAATGGTGGGTTTGAGGGGCGTGGCCCAATAGGGGAAATATAGCAAATTCTTTAAAATCCTTCTTTTTCTGTAGGAATGAAAATATTTGTTCCATATTTGGTCTTAAGCATCCTTGGGTAAAGGGGAACCAATTTTGTATAAACCTTGGGTCTGGACTCTCAGAGACATTAGGGGAAACATAGCAAAATCTTTAAAATCCTTCTTATTCTGTAGGAATGGAAGGATTTGGTCCAAATTTGGTATGAAGCATCCTTGGGTGAAGGGGAACCAATTTTGTATAAACGGTGTGTCTAACCCCCCTGGAGGCGGGGCCCAATAGGGGAAATAGAAGTAAAACTTGTAAAATCCTTCTTCTACCATAGGGATCAAAACCTAATTTAGTCTGGATCATCCTTAGTCCAAGAGGACTCAATTTTGTATAAGCAGTTGGTGTGGTCTCCAAGGGGGCAGAAGGGTGGGCCCAATAGGGGAAATAGAGGTAAACCTTTAAAATCCTTCTTCTACTATAGGGATGAAGGTATTTCTTCCAATTTGGTCTGAAGGATCTTGGGCAAAAGTGACTCAATTTTGTATAAACAGTGAGTGGGGGCAGAAGGGGAAGGGTGGGGCCCAAATAGGCGAAACATAGCAAATTCTTCAAATACCTTCTTCTGTAGGAATGACAGGATTTTATCCTTATTTAGTCTGGAGCATCCTTAGGCCAAGGGGTCTCAATTTTGTATAATTGGTGGGTATGACCCCCTAGGGGCATAGGGGTGGGGCCCTGTTTTAAGTTTGTTCTCGCTATATCTCAAGTACTGGATGGATCTTTCTGAAATTTCATATGTACTTACAGCACCTACCATGGAGTGCTTAATCTTAACTTCATACCAATTACTTTAAACATATTCAGGTGAGCGATACAGGCTCTCTGGGCCTTTTGTATTATAGGTATATTGACAGACAAGGCTAGTACCTGTGACTCGGCTACTTTGTTACCTTTTAACCACAAAATAGGTAGGATTTTTGCAACACATTGTTAGTCAATAAGCCATGCAGATTTTCAAGGTCCTATTTAGAAATTTGTCATACTTTAAGAGCAGGTGGGTGTAGCCTTCTATCCAAGAATTCCTTCTCGTTTCCAAGAACTAAGTGGAAAGAACACGAACCCCACTCAGATTATGGAAACATTTTTCAAGACTTTTTAAGCTTAAAATTGAAAAGGATTCTTCATTACCCTGTGTGTTTTTATTCTGTTTAGTTTAAAGGTCACAGGTGGATGAATTAAGATACTGTTTTTGGATATCAGTTTTTACACAAGGATTGACTCAAAGATTAACCTCTTAGCTGAAATTCAAAAGGGTTTTCCTTATTACCTCCATGTCCTAGGTGCAAAGATATGCTACTTTATATTTGTAAAGCTTTACTGAATAATGTCCTGACAGCCGTTCAAAAATGATCTGGTAATGTATTAAGATATCTGACCTACACACCCTTGTTGGGACCTTGGCATTCATGCGGCTGCAGACATCATAATGCTTCATGAATTAAATACTAATACCAATATGGTTGGTTTTTATAGTTTAATAAAAGATATGTAAAGCTCTCATTCGTCCACATCATACATCTGTATAAACTCTCATCCAGCAAATTAAGTCTTTATCAGAATCTTCTCTTTTTCAGAAGCTACGATATAACATTTAAAATCACAATTTTTGTAAATCTTTTCCACATACACTGTAAAATAACCACATTATTTCTAACCTATTGAAATTCTAAAGTTTTATAATTGTTAACCATTATCATCATCATCATCATCATTGTAATCGTCATCTGCATAATCAGGGTTGTTCACATTTTCAGTCCCAAATTTAACTATTCCACTAGACAGTGCATAAGATAACATAGCTACTGCAGCAAATAGTGCTGCAAAAAGTATGTTTCGCTTTTTATTAGGAAACTCAAGGGAGTCTATCTGCATCTTCTGTCTCGTCTCTTCATCACGTTTTCTTTTCAATTCCATCTCTGCAATATAAATATAAAATTCCATTAAAGATGAATGTGAGAAATTTGGCTGTCCTGAAATTTGAATGATTTGGAAGACAGTATTAAATAATGTTTACAAAATTCATCAGTCTGAGTGTTTCTTTTTCTCTGTATTTATGCATTGCTCTAAACCTTGATCTAAATAATAAGAGATTTTGTTCCAAAAGTGTTTGTCAAAACATTAAGTGAATTTTTATTTGTGCAGCACATGTTTTTAATTTCCATTCCTAACACTGACCTGAATTTTCAGCAACCCCAAAATTCAAGGTGAAATTTGAAAATAAAGGGAAACTGATCATGAAATGAATTAAGAAAACAAACCTTCGGGGCTCAAGGGGAAATATCTCATCAATACTCTATTGCACAAAGTACATAGGTTTGTACAGGCTTTCAGGTGGTTTATCAGACGGTTGGTTTGTACTGGAGCCTTCAGTAGAGGTGCTAGATACCCAATCACCTTCGCATCCAGCTCAGAGGGTCTACAACAGAACTTAAGGTGTGTAGTCTTCTTCATATCCCTTTGTAATGAGTTAAGGAAGCTTAAACAAAACAATATATTTGGAAGATAGAAATCTTAAGGTTCAATTTTATGCTGATTCTTACACACAAAACAAGAGTTGGAATTTGAGGGTAATTTGAAACTTAACACTTCATAACTATTTGACACTAAACTGAAACTATCAATGTATATATGGGGCATACATGTGAATAATGCCTATTTCAGCCAAGCAGTGGACAGTATTTCTATGTATACTTCTCTCAGTGGCCATACCAAAAGGCTTTCAAACCTTACTTTAGCCTAAAAAAACAGAATTGGCTAACTCATTTTTAACATGTCTGTATATTGTGAGACATTATTTGCTTTACTGATTAATTTCAATACTAACATAGTGACATGAGTACAAAAATATTAATATTTTGATATACTTTGATACAACATCCTATTTTCTGCTCTTTCCAAACATGTACTTGATTAATTTGCACGACATCTAAAACATCTACTATATTTATTGTTCACAAATTCAAAATGCCAGTGTTAATTCTTAATACCAAACTCTGAAGTAAAAGGTAAAAGAAAGAGTCAATAAGTATAAAGGTATCAGGGTATCGAAGGTCCACCTTCAACTGTAGAATAACCTCCATTTCTACATAAAATAGTTATGATACCCTTATTAAGAATAATTATTGTAAAATTTGCAATCAAATACTTACAATGATCCAAAGAAAAAGTCTTGTTCACCAAGTCGATAGGACAAATGATTCAAACACTCTTTTGCATCTTTGTAGATCTGCAAGTTTGAAAATAATAGCATAATCTGTCTAGTAGATTTAAACACTATAATGATCCTATAAATCACCGAAGATTTTACGGGTGGTAGGGGCTCTAAAAAAGTGCCTCCCACCCTCTCCTATGGTTAATGCTGGAATAGCCCTTAGACAATACTAATTTGAAAAGTTTTCATGATTTTATGACTGAAATTGCTTTATCATATGAGTACAACGTTGATACTATCTGAACATATACATATAGACTTAGAACAGATACAGCTTTTTACAGATTTCTTTTCTTTGCCATCATCAACAGGAAGTTCTGTTAACCTTAGCTTCTATTTCCGCTTTTGTTATGTTATCTGGGTCCACATTCTCTGCCATGTATACAATTGAGGCTGCAGTCCTGTGGAGTCTGCCAGGGATGTAAAAGTTGAGTGGAAATGGACTGGCATGTGCATACCAGGGACGAGTCACATCAACATACGTCTGATCATCTAACCACCAAGTGTGCAGCTACCAAATAACAAAACTCAAATTTCAGCAATGAAACAAAATAGTTTAGATGATTTTGATCGGAAAAAAGTGTGTTCATTTAAAATTACCATGCATGACGTTACCAAAAGAATGTTTAAAATATAAATTTTGAGCCAAGGTTATAAATGTGGATAAATCAGCTGGACACTTTATTCTTGAGAATGGATACTGAAGGATATGCAGGGTGAATGGGTTGAATATGTAAATGTGAGTAAAGGGGTTCAAATCACAATACAGCTGAGGTATCATCAGTTGTTGACTAATAATAAGAACCCATTCAAAATGGTGACACCTGAACTGTCTTGCAATTACAAGCTCTCTACTTATTTTTACCAAAGAATATTTCTTATCATGATTTTATTTTCATGAAAATAATCTTTATTGATGATAAATTGTTTACAATCATCTTATTTTGTTAGAAACTTTCCATCATCTTGGTAATGTATACTTACTACTGCAGGTAAAAGCTTTTGCTCCATTAAGGAGGAGAAAGCCTTGACATCAGCATTATTTGGACCCACCTGGGGTGTCACTCCAGTTGGACTCTTAAAATTCAATAGAGTAAGAAATCAACATTACAATAATATCACATACCTATTCATCAAATGATCCTCTTAATTTCTTAAAAGCTGGTTTATTAAAATTTCAGAATATTTGTTGTGTTAGTAAAAAAAATCATGAAGAAAATAGAGATGGTTCACTGATAATGATACCGGTATATGCATACACCAGGTTTTTCCAATTTATTTTGACTATTGATGATTTAACAAAGGCATCACTTCTCTTTTAAACAACAATTTGAATAGATAAACAAATAAAATCCTAATAAAAGAAAAACAATAATGAGTAACATTTTAATGCCAAAAAAAGATTTTTCAAATATTACTACCGGTAATTATAAATCTTACCCTTTTTTTGATAATTTCTAACATCTCTGACATCTTTGACACAGACTTTCCATCTGCCCTTAAAACAGGTAATGTGCCTGAAAGAAAAAAATGATAGTCGCACAGCAATTCTTGACAACATGAAATATGTGGGAACTTCCTCAATTTTAAAATGTTGTCTTGAAAACTTATGTTTAAAATGATGGAAATGATATGCAATCATTCAAGGTGAGAAGTACAATAGTTAATATTTATCAAACTATGAATAATCTAGCCCTTATTAACTTGATAAGTCCCAGTTTTATATGCCTGCCTTTATAGCCATGAGTCAAACTAGCTATAGTATAACATAGTAATTTTTATAAGGGGTAAAGGCTGTGCTGAAGTTTGACAGGGATGCCAATAAATGACAGAAAAAAATGTTTGCATTTCAATCACATTCACATGCCAACATATTAATTGTGCTATTAAACTTAACAACACTATACTCATCTGCATTGCTAAACACAAAAAGCATATATTAATATTAATTGTGTACTTTAAAAGGTTGGACAAATGAAATTGCAGCAAGATTGTAATGCATATTACTCATCTGTTGAGTTATGTATGACGTGTGTAATATATACAGTCTAAACTTAGGTCAACAATGATGCAAGTTGAAACTGCCTATCAAAGTCAGGAATTGTGGTTAACACAAAAATTGACCAACACCTTTTTGCCAGCTTGATAAAATTACCTGATGGTGTCCATACTGGATTATTTCTTTTCACCGCTCTACATGGGACTCCACAAAACTTTGAAAATGCCTAGAAGACAAATAGTTTATTAACTGTGATACAAATCCACATGTAGGGAATAAGGCCTAAGGAAGTTAACAATGGTTGGTCTTGAGCTGGCATATATCATACAAAAACATGTAACAGTATCATGATTCAGCTAAAATTGCTAATTTACATTGTATATCATACTGGGCCCCTTTTGCGTATCCGGTTAAACTGTTTCAACAAGCTGAACTTGAAAAGAAATGAGAGGCTCAGACCTAAGCTGACCTCAGGAATATTAGGCATGCATATCGAGGGGTACAGACATGCCTGACCAAAACTCAAATGCTGACTATATAGCTATTGCTAGTTTGCATTGCTAGTTCTTCATAAAATAAGGTTGATTGATATATATTTTAGGATACGTTAAATAACTTAATTAGTGGACACATAAAAGAAGGACATACTATTCAAGACATATTGTTATTCATCTGTCACAAAACTCAGAAACAAAGCACTTTTTAGCTCTGCCTACAGGTCATTGCAACCCTGGTGTATTGATACGGGTTCCTGTTGTTTCGCTCGAAATCCTGTTCACCCTAAGTTGTTTTGAGCTAGGTTGTTTCACCCTAAAACAAGGAAATTTAGGACGAAGCATTGTTTGGTATTTCCTTTCAATTTTAGTAGTTTTAAGTCTTCCTAGTCTTCCATATCATTAAAATAAATTTGAAAAAAAATTGTCTATTGTTTTTAAGCAAGTGCGACAAACAGCAGCTGTTTAAAGCCGACTCTGCACTCACAGAGATGCACATTTTTCTACATGAAATATACCAAACACCAATATAGAAATTTTATCAATAAGTTAAGTTAATTTATTTAAATAATTAATTATATAAGCGTATAAAATTTTAAAAATTACGACGAAACAACCTTGGGCAATCAGGATTTAGGGCGAAACAACCCTTTGCGTGAAAGGGATTTAGGGTGAAAGAACCCGTTACCATTGATAAGTAATTTAAAGAAGAACAAATTTTCTTAAGGTTCATGATTTTCCAGATGAACATTTTTATCTTTGTTACTGAAGTTGAATTTCGCGCATAGACGAATTAATAATGATGCAACTGGTATGAATGAATACCAAAACTTTGGTTCATAAAGAAAATGCACCAAGTAAAGAAACGACTACAGGTAATTGATGGACACTATTGAATAATATGAATCGATGTGTGCCAGCAGAGACGTTTATACTACTGGCTTTACACGTCTCTGGTGCCAGTAACTACATTTCATTATATTGTATTTAGTCACTTAGTGTGTCCAGCACATATGAAAACGACCAGAATTCTTCCTTCGTAGCATTTCAGCAATATTTCTCTGAATCTAGACATTTTCTGCCAGCGTCCAGACTTCAAAAATTCAAGCTAGTATCCCTAAAGCTTAGTAGTAGTTATATTATTAGTCTATAAGTTTTTTGACCTGATTTCTTTTGCCGACCTACGGATTATTGAAGTACAGGGATCGCATATTTAAGATTTAACGGAAAGCTATAGTTTTCAATGCAATAATTTTACATATGAGAAATGTCAATAAAAGCGTTAACAATATACCAAGACAGTCAAACAGTCTGAATCCACGGAGGGAAGTTCCCAATCACCTTCCCAAATATCCACCTCCAAAACGTCGTCTGCCATGCTTCTCGAGCACTATCCTTGACCTTGGTGTAGTGATATATAGTTCCTTACCGGAAACGCTTAACTATTTGAAACAATTGATACTGGGCATTTATAAGTTTTCAAAATGTAACATAAAGTCAGTAACATATTAGTATGAAGAAAATATCATATTACCGAATGAAATATTGCATCTCAACATCATTTAATTATGCGCGATTGTTGAACTATATTTATTTATGAATAGCGTGGAAGGGTTTCCGTCAAAATTATATTGGGTGTTCCAGGGCACTAGTTGGCAGGACGTGATTGGAGAGTTGAAGTTGTTGGATGTAGTTTCGTTTGCATACAGTTCTAGTAATGTTTTACAAAACATTATATGTAGGAATATGTGCAATAGGTTTGGCGTGGGTATACAATACCTGGTATACAGCAAAGGATGTAGATCAAGAGCAAATAGAAGAAGACATCATCAATGCATGGAAAAAACACGTTGTTTCACCACCGGTGACATTTCAGCGATTACACGTCGGGTTAGTGTGTGCCTGTATTGTTATCGCATAACTGTTGACAATTCACACATATGAATGTTTTAAATTCATGTTTAAACGACAAAAGACCACGAACTAGACAATATCATCATTCTGGACATTTTGCTTTTACCTTTTCGAGACCGGTACCGAATTAACGATTTCCATAAAAAAAAAGGAAATCCTTATAGTAATGAGTAATACTGTAATAGTCAGTTATTTCGGACTAAGTTGACTAAATCTACTCTGGTCAGGTGTGATAAAAAGTTCTTTAAAGTTATTAATTGGTCGTTTTCAAACTCTTATTGGCACAGCGGCAGAGATATTGAATTATAAATCTTGTCATCAGGTCGGGGAAAACCACTAACTTGCATATAATACGGCAATAGGGGTATGGATTTGTTACTAAAAATAGCCAAAATCACTTTAATCTTAACTTTTTCATTTTTTTTGTCCAAGTCGCATTTATTCATGAAACATAATACAAATGCAAAAATAAACATTATTTGCGTGTGGGAAAGTACCAAAAATAGATGCAATAATTCCGGTAAAGTTACATCAACTTTCTAAGTAGCCAACACTTTCAATAAACATCTTTTAGCAATATATTATTCACCTTGTCGTAAATTAATGCGATTTTTAATAATATCTTGCAAAAGTTACTGTTAAAGCTATTTGGGTTATTTTTGTAACAAATCCATACTCCATCTGGCGTATAATAGGCGAGTTTGCATATATACGCAAGTTGGTGGTTTTCCCCAACCTGGTTATTGTGTACTGTCTGAAGTGTTGAAGGAGTGGAAAAATGCACGGCCAGACAGGGGCTCAAACCAACTACCCTTCAAACCTTAGACAGAGTCTCTACCATTTCAACTACCTGGTTGCCAAAAATCGAGTTTTGCAAAGAAGGGGGGAAACATTAACATTAGTGTCCTAATTTTTGTGCAAAAGACCCTATGGAGGACAATCTCTGCCCGATCAAGAATTTGTGAAAGTCATTTTTTAATTACAAGTCCATAACTTTGGATCATGAAATTTTTGGTTTCTTGTTATAAAAACACTTGAGCTTCACGTGTAGCAAGAAAGTTGAACTCTGAAGTCAGTAAGATATTTTGGTCTACTATATGGGTGTAGTCAGCTGATCTGACATTTATCTGAATCTAATACATATATGTAACAGTTGTAGCAGATTTGGACTGGTGACTAGGTATCAAAATCAATGATCATTTTCATCTAAATCTCAGAAGTCCTAGGTTAAAATCCTTGCCTGGCCTTTATATATTTTTATTTACCACTTCTTAAATTGTTGCACTATAGTTCAGAAGTCATCATTGATTCTTTGGTATTAACACATATTATTTACATAATCTTGTCTTTCAGAATTAATTCCAATGTCGACCTGATTGTACCAGGTGTGGGTCTTCTAAAAGCTCTTCGAGTGCCCTCAGGAAGGAGAGAAAACAAAGATGTTTTAAAAAATCTTGATGACCTTCAAGACACCTTTGCACATTTCTTTGCCAAAGGATCAGCTGCAGAAAGAGCTTTCCTGGATAAAGACATATTTCAAAAGATCGTTTCTACTGGAAATACACTGGAAAATGCTCAGGTATTACATTTTAAAGTACAAATATTTAGTTTATATATATACAGTGCAGCACTGTCTAAATGAAACTTATTTTGTAAAATTGTCATTTCCAATTACTGTTACAGTGTAATCGCTGTATAGTATAGAATGATTTTGTCATTATAAGTGCTCAAATTCACTTTTGCATTTCAGTATTATATTGGAGGCAATGCAGCACTTATGGCAAGTAAAATATCAGAACAGTTTCCAGAAGTGAAGGTATGTATATATGTTTGTAATAACAAGGTTTTGTACCTGTAAATAAAAATAATAAACAAAATGATCAGTGTTTTTTGGTGCAATATCTTTTCTTTTTATTAGTTTTTTGGTGCAATATCTTTTCTTTTTATTAGTTTTTTGGTGCAATATCTTTTCTTTTTATTAGCACTGATGTTACACGAGCATTCTTGAATATTACAGATAAATTTTATTGGACCAGTTGGACCAAAGCTATTAGAGATGCTGCCAAAATCTTTGAACATTCCAACAGCCAGCCACATTTCCACAGATGAAGTACATTTGATAATGGAGTATGGTGTTGGTGAGACCTGGGGAGATGTACAGAGCCCAGTCGCCAATCGCTTCATTACAAGCTACGACGAATCTAACTCACAAGCAACAATGCTGGAAACCTACTTTGAATCTCTTGACACCTCTAAAACAGATCTCGTACTTATATCGGGACTTCACATCTTAGAAGGACAATCAAAAGATTTCTTCATTAGAAGAATTCAGGTGGTCTGTGATGGTTTAAATAAGATTCCAAAATCATTGCCAGTACATTTAGAACTGGCAAGTATGGCGAATGAAGATTTTGTAAAGCCGATACTCACAAAGGTATTAGTCTTTTAATTTATTAATACAAGTGTTCATATTTCTGTGAAGTATATTTGTGAATAATGCTGTTGGAATTCAAATTAAATTTAATTATTCTTCAAAAACTAGTACATTTATCTCCCCTTGATTGTTGAGTGCGTTCTTAAGTTTGATACTTTTCTATTTTTCAGGTTATTTCAAAAGTTTCGTCCCTCGGGTTAAATGAACAGGAACTTGCATTTGCCTCCCTGGCTGGGAACGGCCCTCATAGCTCAGATTTCCACCATCAGGCTGGTCCTCCAGAGATCTACAAGGCTAGCGACATGGTTATGTGGTTGCTTCAACAATATGGTCAGTCTTCTCGTAACCCAGAATCAAGACTGACCAGAGTCCACTTTCACTGTCTTGCATACCATATCATTGGAAATGTTAAAGGAGCGTGGACAAACTCTGCTGCAGCTGTGGCTGCCGGGTCAAGAATGGCAGGAAAACAAGCATGTGATGTTCAGCAGCTTAATTCTTCCATTGTAGATTTAAAAATTCCAAAAAAATTTAAAGCATTTTCTGATGATATTGATAGAGAGTTTGATCCAAAAAAACCTGTTATATCATGGGAGACTGATGGATTTGAATTTTCACTTAGTCCCGTATTGGTATGCAAAGATCCACAAAAAACTGTTGGTTTAGGTGACTCGATCTCGGCTACAGGTCTCATGTTTTCAGAATACATGTATGCATCCAAATAATACATTTCTTTTAATTGTTCACAGATGAAGCCCTTATACAAGTTAGTGCTACAAATCTTTAATATTTGATACCTTGTGATACTTGTAAAGTTGCTTATGTATTTTGGTACTAATTTTGTTATTTTTTCAATAATCAATTTTATGGTCCCCAATTCCGTCTTTGCGTTTTTGCAGAGTTATCTTCTCTTGTGAGCAGGTATTGATTGTTACATCATTGGTTTGTGTGAACAAAATATGTCGTTTTCTCAAAAGTTGATGACGTTACTCTTACAAACAAATGACGTAACAATCAATACCTGTTCACAAGAGAAGATAACTCTGCAATAAGCAAAGACGGAATACAGGATAAGTACTTCGTATTTCCTGAGACACAATCAGAGGTGTTCAATTTCATGTTAGGAGTATTGGCATTCAGATAGAATCTGACAAAATATACTAGTTGGACCGGACATACTTTTAGATTAAATACTGAAAATTGTCTCTAGTCCTGACAGAAAGTGTTCTAGTGCTGGACATTAGGTTATCGGAATTGTACATACCAGGTACTTATACAACACATTCAATTACTGGATTATGATTCCTATGTTTAAAATAACTTATTGAGGTACACAATAATACAGTGATGTACAAGTTTAGAGAAGACATCTATAAGTCAAATGACTCCCAGTCTTCCACTGATTGTTACAAGTTTTGAGAAGACATCTATAAGTCAAATGACTTCCAGTCTTCCACTGATTGTTACAAGTTTTGAGAAGACATCTATAAGTCAAATGACTTCCAGTCTTCTACTGATTGTTACAAGTTGAATTGTATGATACTCGAAAAAAAATCCCTAAAGCTAGGTATTTTGTTTGCTTTGTTTTATTATATAAATAGGAATATCTTTTAATATATGAGCAATTTTACGGTTTAAAGGAATATCTAAAACGATTTGTAATAAAGCTTTGTATTACAGAAAAAGTTAATTTCTATGATAAAACGTACACCTTATATTTGTCTATTTGAATCCGGAATCATACAGTGCAACATTTGAAAGAATAAGCTTTTTTTTTACCAGGTTTCTAATATCATATACCAAGCAATGACAATAACATATTTATATAGTGTGTAAAAAAGGGGGTCGGACCGTGGGAGAGCCACTGTATACGCTAATAAGTGCCATTATCTTACACTGAATGACAGATTGAATGACAATCATGTTGTGTTATTATTGTATGGGATGATATGCATGTAATGATGTATATGATGAATGAGAACAGCAATTACGTAAAGGACTTAAACACAACATGATTTATGCATAAAGAGTTTTAATCAGTACTTGCATACAAATTAAATGATTTTGGAGTCTACAAAGTCATATATGAGGCATACCAATCGACTTTATAGAACTCATATGGACTCCATTGTTCTCTCTTTGAACAATTTACAAAGATATGTCTTGGAACAACTTTGCTTCTTCCTCTTCTTAAATCAGTAAAAATAAACTGCATACTCATTATATGTTGTGATAATTGAAGAAACAAATTGGAATGTTTAAAGAATCCATGTTTTTGCATCATATAAATATGTTATGGCTGTCGCTCAGTGTAATACTGATATTTGGACCATGCTCTTTCATGCTATATAATTATGTTATGTCACTGGCCTATGTATGATAGTGATTCTTGGGATCCCATTTCTTTCTGCCAATGAATACTTGTTAAATTTTGTCAGTTGGCTTATGATCGTGGCTCTAAGGACCCCATTTGCAGCAAAAGTACATTAGTGTAGCTGTGAGACAGCTTGATTACAGGGATATTTTTGTATAGAAACAAAGTCAATCTGTCTCTTAAAATATTGGTTGGGTTAGTGGGACAAACAAATTAGTAGTGGCTAGATCAACGAGACTGCTGTAGGAGAAAAAACTAGAAGAACCACTTGATGTTGCTTCACTTAGTGTATGTTACAATATGTATTTGTTCAATCACCTCGTAATGTTCTAACTTAATGCTTACAGCAATCATTACTTTGATCCTGTTTATATTTGTTCACGCATATACCTTAATTTATTCTTGGTGTATGTTATTTAGCTTACTGATTTCTCATGGAATTTTTCTATATTCAGTTTACGATGCTTTAAGTTAAGTCATGTCTAGGCTCATGACTACAACTGGTTGTACCAAAATAAGCTTATAATAAACCTGCGCTGTGGTGCTTCATCTGTTGTCTGTCAACATAACCATTAAATAATATAATAATTTGCCAGTTGTCAGCCAAATTCAGAAATAAAAAGTCATAATATTACTTATTCCTTCACCCCTATTTCTTAGGGGTGAAGGGTGGGGTCAAAAGAAGTCTTGTTTGGTTTATTTGTAAACATCTCGAAAACTACTGTGGATGCAGGTTCCAATAACATTGTGACGGTACTATCTGTAGCTCATGGGGATCAAAATTTATACAAATAAAGGGGCTGCACCTCTTGAAGGCTGAGAGAACGTCAAAAGTAGTCATTTTAGTTTATTTACTTTGAATAACTCATCTTCTCAAACTATTTGGCAGGCTTCTATTAAATTGTCTTGGTAACATCCTTAACTCATAGAGATCAATTGTTATACAAATAAAAGGATGAAAAGTTCCTGGGGTATCTACTACCAAATTGCTCAGAAGATTTCAACATAGAATGAAAGCTTCACTTCCAAAATAGCCAGGTGAGTTGTTTACACTCTTGGGCCACTTTGTTTGTTGTATTTGATCTCGCGTACAGTTTTACAGAGAAAAGACAAAGTGTGCTTGTTGTATACTCAGTGTTACCTTTTCTTTGTTTATGATATTAAGTGCTAACTAAAGAGTACCATACATTATGATGTGAGTTAAATTGATTATAAACTAGTGCATTTGGGTAGCAGTCAACTTTCATTGATTTTTAAAGAGTTTGAACAAATTAGGAATTAATTTATACATCATATCTTGAAGAGGATAACACTAAAAAAGTTGTGAGTCTTCAATCAATATTTCTCAAATCTTTTCATTATTGTAATCAATCTGCGAACAATCGAATTGGTTTAGTATATATATTTTTATTTGATGAATTGGTGCAATACAGTTATGTTTTATTAATTTTTGCAAATCAGGAATATGAAAAACCTGGTTCAAACCCATACTACTACTACTTGTGGTGTAGTTGGGAAATGATCCAGACGCACCAATCATGTAGCCGAGAGCTGATCAAGGCTCGCACTATACTGGTGTAGTTTTAAGGAACTTCTTGATATCTCGGAGTGATCCAGCCTGGTTTTTTTTTCTTGGCTAAAATTTGATATGTTGGACTTTCAGTACAGGTATGTAAAAGGTGTTTGTCTGGACTGAGAGCTTTGGTTTATTTTTCATTTAAGTTTTTACAACAGTTATGAAACAAGTTTTATGAACTTATACTAATCACTATTGTTTGACTGAAGAGATTATAATTATGTTTCCTTTTATTTGTTTACAAGATGAAGCATATATACATTCATTATATATGTGTACTTTTACCATCAAGGATTCTACCCAAAATCTCCCGGATTCCAATGTCGACCAATATTTACAAAATGTTCTCATATTCAGTTAAACATGCAGTTGTCCATAAACTATCATGTAAAAAGTTACTTTTCCATTGTTAAAACATGATTAACACCTAAAGGATTATACATGTATACATAGATAAATGTTGGAACCTGTTTCCCTTTTGGCATTTATGTAAGTCAGCTGTTTCGGAAACCAAAAGGATGTAAGTAAGTGAAAACAAAGGTCAAGATCTGTGGTACTACAATGTTCAAAATTGTTGGCATATGCATACTCAAACAATAATCTAATTTTTATAAGCCTGTCGTATAACGGAACATATTTCATTATCACATGAGCATGTGGGTGGGCAGGCGGGTGCGAACGGTGTCCGGTCAATATCTCGAGTAGTTTTTAATTAACATTAAACTTCATAGGAAGGTTTATTGCCATGATGACTCAGACAAATTTGATTACCGCAATTATTGGACCATGATTTACAGAGTTATGGCCCTTTATTTGTTTGCCAAAACAGTGTGCACTTGATATTTGGACCGTAATTTACGGACTAATGATCCTCAATGTACAACCATACAGACAACTGCTCATTCCATGTATGATGGGTATATTATGTTACGCTTTCGCAGTACTCTTTATAAATATCAGATTATCAGAATTTCATCACCATTAAAGGTATACTCAGGCAACAGGTCATTGCTTGTAATGGCTGTCATAAGTTTGTTAATCATTGTATAATAAAATCAGGGTTTATTGGAGGTAATCTAATGCACATAGTTATGTTTCTTGTAAAAGGTGGTCTATGTATCATGTTTGATATCACAATCAAGTACTTTTAGAGTTGAACAGCACATGTGCTGTATGGGTAATGTAACACAAAAGGATTCAATTGAAACAATCATTTTAAGGTTACCCTTGGACCACATACTTACGTAATTCTTTACAATAAGTTCATTTATAATCATAGAACATTTATATTTCTTTTGATAAAAAAATATTTAAAAATGTTGACACAATCAGATACATATACAATTTGTTGATCTTGTGGAAAAAATGGATGATTTAAAAAAACCTCTTAGCATCATGTGGAAAAATAGATGGCTACAATGTTAGTTCATTGAAGGACTAAATCTGACTTTGTTAAATGTTGATTGTAATTTCTAAACACAGTTTATGAAAATCTATCCTATCATGCATTTCATGCACATTAAATCTTTAAAATAATATCTGAATCATGACAATAAATATTGAACTAATTTAGTAAGGCATCCATTTGATATTTACTTATGACATGAACACTTTGGAAAGAAAGGACTATGTATGGTTTGGGACTCTTTTGGCCTGCAAATGCATCAAAATTCAAAACCTTTAAATGAACTTTGAAATGACTGTTTCTTTAATTTTGAATACCTCTATTATGAAAATATTTATTTATATTTCTTATTATTGTTGCCATGGTAACAAGTTCAAATTTGCATAAATTAGAAAGAAAAAAAATATTCAGTGAATATTGTGATATTTTGCATAGTTTTTCTCCTAGAAACTATAAGAGTGCATGCTTGAACAAACTTAATATCAAAGGATAATGTGTAGGCACCTGTAATACATCTTTAGGAGAAATATAAAGTTTGTTCAAGATTGCGC